TTTTGTTTATTTTATTTTTTAATATATGTTATTTATTCTTTAAATTAACGCTTTTTTTTTTTATTGAGATTATAAAACTATAAAACAATATACCCCGCTTAACTATAGCCATTTCGCCCAGGGTATCTCAACATTTGTGCGAGCATCTTTCGTGTTGGCATCAAATTTTGTCATTGATTTAAAATGGATCGTTTAATTGCCGGTTCTTTGAGGCTAGCTAATGCAATGATAGATTAATCTGTTTACATTTCTCAAGAGGAACTAATTTTAGCATTTTTCGCTTTGTATCGTTATGTCTTTCAATGCACTTGGCATTTGGCACGATTCACGTTTATTTGTCGCCTAGAAATGTTTAAACTGAATACGATTTGATACGCCCCCAAAGCCCGAACATTTGCATTCGCAAATGTGCTATATAAACATATAGTTTACATTTTAGCTCTATGTCCACATGGACATACGTACAATATCAAAAGTGGAATACTTACTTTTATTCTGTTCAGATTTTGTCAGGCTTCGATTGCGTCTGTCAAATTATCATAAAGTGTATCTAAATTTAGCTGGAAATTACTTGTCTATCCAAAAAGCTGGCGACAGCAGGTTCGTCCGACTCGCAAATTACAAGTTCACGATTTGGAAATGCCGCAATTTCATTTATCTATATCTATATTAATTTTCTTGACATTTGCGAACAATTTGTCTGCGTCTTACGACTCATCTAGATGATGATGATGACGCTGATAGAGATGATTATAATGCGTTTTGGTTGTTTTGCGGGTAGACACGCACGCGCCAGCAGCTTGACTCTCTGTTTTATTTATGACAAATGCTTGAATGACTTCATATAACAGCAAAATGATGTTGCTACCCTGTGGCCAAAGCTAGAAGGAGCATGATACCCTGTGGCCAAAGCTAGAAGGGGCATATGACTGAAGAGTTAAGCAAAGAAAGTCAAAGTTTAATATGAATATAATTTTATTTAATTTACTTTTATAAACTATTTATGCCATATACAGGGTATTTCACAGTTTATCAGTTAGACCATGTGTCTCTTTCAATGTATTTCTTTTGAAATTGTCGCATTGCATGACAAACGGAAGAGTCAACAATGTTCTTTGTTTTTATGTATTTTTGATCACAAATTGCGGAATTTGGATCAGCTGCTGATGTTGTGATATATATGTATAGTATATATGTATATATATGCACAGATATGTTTGTATTAATATATACATTCTATATTGCTAATATATATAAACACTTCCAGTTGTGACGTGTGCGCGCGTGAGCCAAATAGAAAATAGAAATGTATATTTTATTTTATTCACAAGCAATTTAAATGTACATAAACTTTGTATATTCAAAGAATTTATGGCGTTTGAAATGTAATTGAATATGAAATGAATTATTCGCTAAATATTTTATGAATGATTTATGCACATGTATATTTTAAGATAATCTTATGGGATTTAATTTGCGTATAATGTATATAAATATCAACATGCATAGCCAAGGAAATGATTATATATAGTGTATACATTGTAATGATTATTAATTATTCAATATTTGTGTTGTTTTTGCAGTATGCCAGGTGTCGAGCATAGCCGAGATCACCGATCTGTACGTGAAATCCTGCCGTAAGCATAACACAATACCGCTGAAAAGCATTATGGAGCACCTGAAATCGCTGGATTTACACCTGCCGCGGCAGCCGCTGCTATCGCTCAAAGGCATTCAGCTGACGCCCAACGATTGCGAACCACTGGAGGAGATATTCATGCGGGTAGGTGGCGAATTTTACGGCTCGAAATGCAATTGTTTAATGTTTTATTACGCATCGAACCCGCAGATACAGTACAAGGTCATCGATTTGTCGGAGTGCCCGCTGAACGAGAGCTGCCTGAGTGCACTCTGCCAGATGATTGAGTACTATGAGGCTGCCCATGAGTTGGATATTTCGTACAACAAGGAACAGATGACGGTTCGTGGCTGGGGCCTCTGCACGCACATGGTTGGCCGCAGCCAGGAGCTGCAGCTGCTGAATGCCGAGGGCAACCAGATATCTAAGGTGGGCGCCGAGAATTTGGGTAGCGCGCTGAGCACCTCCAATCTGCATACGCTCAAGCTGGAGCATTGCGGCCTCAAGGGACCGCCACTCACCAATTTCTGTAAGTGTGTGAGCATTGGCGTCTGTGTGTTTGGATGATGCTTTAACGATTCAACTATTCAACTATGCAGGCTGCAAGCTGTACCACAACAAGATACTGAAGGAGCTGTGGCTGGGCTACAACGATTTGGATTGCACCGATGCGCAGCACATTGCGGATATGTTGCGGTTCAACCACAGCATTGAGCTAATCGACATTAGCAACAACAACATACGAGACGAGGGAGCCAAGTACCTGGTGCAGGCACTGATACTCCAGGCCATCGAACTGGAGCGTCGCAGTGGCTTGCCGCTGCAGCGTGCGCGCGCCATTGAGGATGATGACCTTGTGTCGCCCATGGAGACAACAGCGCCGGTGCAGTTGGATAGCCATATTGAGCACTCAGAGGCAAAGGCTGCGATAGCCAGCACAGCGTCGCACGTCGTTGAAATTATGGAGACCGTAGTGGAGCAGCAGCCACCAACACCGGCGACTTCAGCGGCATCATCGTCGGTGCCCACGGAAGAACTCGGCAGCTGCGAGCCAGCAGTTGCTGTGTTAGTGGACGTGGAGAATGATGCGGACGATGACAATACAGAGGACACGGTGCGCACTCTGAGGGGCGGCGGCGGCAATCAGAGTGCAACTGGCCAATCGATGCTGGACAAACTGCTTTCGATGAACAGCGATAGCAGCAGCGAGGAGGCGCCATCCAACATATCCACCGACACTCTAGCCGCCTGCTGCTCCGAGGACATCAGTGAGATAAGCAATGATATCTACGATGTGGCTGGCAAATTGATATCGACAGCAACATTGACAGCATCCATGGATGAGTCGACAACAACAACAGCTGTGCCGGTGATCAGTCCAAGTCTGGAGCAAGTGACTCCAGCCATCCAACAGCATCAGCATCAGCAGCAGCAACAACAACAACAGCAACAGCAAAGTTCCCAAAACGAACGCAACTTATGTGGTAATATATGCATTTTATTGAATGTTTTCTTCGAGATATTTTATTTAATGCCTCATACTAATACTAACAGAATGAAACTAAAATTTTTACAGCTGATTTTGCAGGTCATTTTTTGGACCGATTTCTTTTTCAATTTTTGGGTTTTGAAACACTATCTTCCTTTAGAGTTTATAGATTGTATAAATTAGTTAAAGTTCATATTGAACGTAAGGTTGTGAATTATATGAGTTTGTATGCATTAACCATTTGCTCAAAATTCTTATATGTATATCATATATATTTAAAGCATGTATGGGTTTTCACTAAAAACTATTCGAAAGTATCACACTTTGTGTATGAGGTAGCAGCAGTAGCTTATGTAGAAAACTTTATTTGGAAACAGTAAATATTCATTTCATATATTTTATTACTATAATTTATATTTTATTTATTTTTCAAAATAATTGTTGATTCAAGAATATTTTTAAAAATATGTTGCAGATAGAAAAAAAAAAAAAACAGTAAAATTGAAATTACTAAAATATTCTTTATATATAAAAATTGATGGGAATGGAAAAATACCGATCTATGGTATTAAAAAAAAAGTGCAATATATTTTAAATAAGTTAATTTTGTTATTTAAGAATATTTGGAGAAGTTTGTTGTGAATAACAAAGATTTCCATATTCCCTAAGAGTTTTTATACATGCAAATTGAATCATTGTTGCACTTCATGTTTCTATTCCTACATACAATATAGTAGTGTCTGATCTAGATTAACTTTACTACCCTCCCCTGCCGCTCCCTCTTATCTATTCAATAATTTTCTAATACTTTTATTTCTTGCAGATATTACTCCCTCAACAGAGGCTAAAACCGTTGAACCCAATGCAACCTGTGTACAGAATAACAACAATGCWAATTCCCACAATAATATTAACAACAACAACAACAATCATAATAATAATAATCAAGTTATAAACCAAATACCAGCGGCTGAGGCCGACGGCGCCTCCGGCGAGGCAGCAGCGATATACGAAGTAACTGCCGAAGAGAGCGACTGCATCAATGGCATTGAGGAGCCGAGTGGCTCACGACCGCTGGACATGAATAAGAATGCGAAGGCTGGAGACGACTTTGAGGATACGCACAGCATGGATTCGGCATTTGAGAGCGCATCGGAGGGCGACATAAGTCGCCATTTGCCAGACGAGTTTAGTCGGCTGTCGGTGTCGCTGGAGAGCACGCGACTGGATGATATGGCCAAGGAGATGGCTATTGAGACGGCGACTATAGCCAGTGAGTCGACTGAGTGCCTGCTGGTGGCTGAGGAGGCGGCCACGCCTGCGTCCACGACGGCCCCAGCTGTGCACCTCGCCCCGCCGTCCGAGCCGGTGATACCCGAGGTGATTGTGGCGCCGGCGGGGCCCAAGGTGACGATTGCTGCTGTTGATAAGGAGCTCGCTGCTAGCCCTTGTCCCAGTCCGACGCCTACGCCGCCGCCGCCATCAACATCGCCGGGCGGGGTCAGCAGCGGGTTGCGTCGCGTGGAAACCAGCTGCACCTACCTCAACCAGTCGACCCGAAATCGTTCCCAGAGCTCGGACAGTCTGTGCAGCGAGAATTCGCTGGACGGCAGCACAAGTAGTGTGGCCGATCCGCATCTTGCCGAGAAGCTGACCAAGAACGATACACTGTCGCGTCGCCATCTGGTCGATCCCACGCTGGAAGCGGCTAATCGTGCGCCCAGCGGCCTTAAGGCACTCGCTCTCTGGAGCAATAATTTGACCAAGGACTGCGGTCCGTGCATAGCCGAGCTGCTCTCGCGCAGCTCCTCGCTGGAGCTGCTCAACATTGGCAAGAACTGTCTGTCCAATGACTTCGTGGCCACCATCAAGGATAGCCTGATCAAGAACACCACGCTCACCACTCTCGGCCTGCAGAGCGCCCATCTCAGTGCCAAGGGCATCGAGACGCTCGCCTCCATCCTGACCTTTGGCGGCAACAGCAAGCTGCAGCGCATCGACATTCGTGACAATAAACTAGAGGTGGAAAGTCTGAATATTATTGCCGAGGTGCTCAAGTCCAACAAGACGATCACCCAAATCGATATCAATGATGAGCCCAAGCGTCTAACGGTAAGTCAGCCAAACGTTAATATACAATTGAATTCTCTTCTAACGCTCGCCGAACCCAACAAACAGCCTATATAATAATTATAATAGCCATAAATATCTTACATTTTAATACGATTTCAATGCAGGAGATGAAGCTAATGTGTTCATTTTATTTTTATTTATTTAATAATTTGTATATCTATATCAATGTCAATTACACAAGGGGTATAATTTAATTAATCAGTTGCAATAATTAATTAAATCCTTAGCATATGTAAAGCACTTTTTATGACAAAAGTAATATGCCTTGATCACAGTTAAATGTTATCAAAAGTGTTAAATATGATATATAAGAG